TATACCTTAATTATACTTCAAAAAAAGAATGCCCTTAATCAACTATACTCCAATATATTAAAAAAGTAAAAAAAAAGAATACTTAAATTTTTTAAAGGAGTCTAAAGTGTTAGAAGTACTTGAAGTTTAATAAAAATGTTTTCCTCATTATACTAAATATATTTCTTTTCCTGTCCTATTTATTTTAATTGGAGTATAGTTGATTTACAATGTTGTGTTAGTTTCAGGTGTACAGTAAAGTGATTCAGTGATACATATACATATATTCATTCTTTTTCGGATTCTTTTCTCATATAGGTTATCACAGAATATTGAGTAGAGTTCCCTGTGCTATACAGTAGGTTGGTTATTTATCTTATATATAGTAATGTGTGTATGTTAATTCCAAACTCCTGATTTATCCTCGCTGCCCCTTTGGTAACCATACATTTGTTTTCGATATCTGTAAGTCTGTTTCTGTTTTGTAAACTATATGTCAAAAAAATGGACAACCTAGAAGAAATGGATAAATTCTTAGAAGGGTATAACCTTTCAAGACTGAACCAGGAAGAAATAGAAAATGTGAACAGATTAGTCACAAATACTGAAATTGAAACAGTGATTTAAAAATTTCCAACTAACAAAAGTCCAGAACCAGATGGCTTCACAGGCAAATTCTATCAAACATTTAGAGAAGAGTTAACACCTATCCTTCTGAAACTCTTCCAAAAAATTGCAGAGGAAAGAACACTCCCAAGCTCATTCTATGAGGGCACTATCACCCTGATACCAAAACCAGACAAAAATATCACAAAAAAAGAAAATTAAAGGCCAATATCACTGATGAACATAGACGCAAAAATCCTCAGCAAAATACTATCAAACCGAATCCAACAACACACTAAGTGGATCATACACCATGATCAAGTGGGATTTATCCCAGGGATGCGAGGATTCTTCAATATACGTGAATCAATCAACGTGATACACCATATTAACATATTGAAGAAGAAAAACCATATGACCATCTCAATAGATGCAGAAAAAGCTTTTGATAATATTCAACACCAATTTATGATAAAAACTCTCCAGAAAGTGGGCATAGAGGGAACCAACCTCAACATAATAAAGGCCTTATATCTCCTATTTATTTTTAATATATATTCTACACTAAACTAAAATTTCATGTTATTCAAGCCTATTAATAGGTAGTAAGTACACATTTAAAATTGTATGAACTTACATTTGTATAGCAATTTCTTTTTATCATGCCCCATTGTGGCCATTAGCCCACTGGCTTGTCATAAGCCTGTGAGGGAGGCAGTATGATCAGTTTTCAGTGCTTTATAATCATTTTAAAGGTAAAGAAAGAGTCTCATTAGGTCACTGGCCCAAAGTCAATGTTGGTCTGTAGATTCTAAGTACAGCCTCTTTTGCCTGCACCACAGAGCATCTCTAGGGATGATGCTACCGATAAATGGGATACGTGTTGACCTGAGCAATGGGAACGCAGAATGAGAATTTGCACGGTTCCTGCTTTTTCTGTATCCTACACAAGACACAGCTTCTCAGGCCTCTCCTCCTTTCTAGTTAACTCCCATTATTTCATCTGATCTTTCCTCAAACTAAGCAGGCATCACACTGAAGCAATACAAAGGGCAATTAAAATATTTATCACATATTTATGATCAATTTATCTTCTCTACTGTACATGTTTTTAAAGGTGTTATTATAAAAGATCCTAAAATAGAATAGTAAATATATATTTTCAATATGACAGAATTACAATTTTTAAAAGCTAAATTATAATTTTCTTGGCATGTGAGTTTTGGTTGTATTCATAACTAAACTATTTTTTTCCTACTCTGAAAAGCTGTTTTGCTACAGGTCCAGTTCTTTTTTACTTTTAGCCACAAGGAAGTCATAAGCCCCTACTTAAATAGAAGCTGGTTACCATGGAAATCATTCTAATGCCACTGAATCAATATTTTGATTTTGCTGACATTTAATGTAAAAAGAAAAGACAGACCAAGATTTATAAAAGTCACTTTTCATCTTTGTTATAATTTTGATAGCTAGAAAAATTGTAAAGGAAACATATGTTCCGTAATGAACTCCAGTTAACTCACAATTATAAAGAATTGAGGATTCATAAAAGAGCAATCTACATATTTATATAATTTTGGCTTTAAGTACACACATATGCATGCATGCATTTGGACTCAAGAATTTTTTCCCATGTCTCAACTGAGCCCTGATTCTCTCCTGTTACTGAAGTCATAAGTTGGTAGAAGAGATTTGAATATATCCAGTTTTGCAATTGTCTTTTGATTAAGTGTTCTGAAGAGAAGGTGAAATTTGCATTGAGAATCACTCTTCCACAGAAGTTGACCATTTCTGCACTGAATCTTAATAGTCCATCTGGTCCACTGGCCACCCTCAAAGAAGCACTACAGCTTAAGGCTTCTCAACCCATCCTTAGAGGTCCTTCTGAGGAAAGATGTTGAACTTGAACCTAATGTTTAATAAGCCTCACTGACCATAAAGTAGTTTTCCAAGTCTGAGATAAGTCTTTGCTGCTGCTGTAATTTACTCACTGTCTCCTCTTCTGTCCTCAGAAGGAATAAAGATAACAGAGCTGCTGTCTTCTGTTTGATAACTAGCTATTTAGAGGCTTAGATCTTTAGATGGTGAAGGGATCTGAAAGAATTATGAGCTTCTCTACTTCAGGAATTAGCTACCTACAGCATCTCAGATGAATGATAATAAGTTCTATTCTTAAGACAATTGAATCACCACTCAAATGTTTCTTCTGTGGGACAATCATGATTTTCCACATGTGTCTACTTTGAATGCCCCAGGTCCCCTTCCTGGGGGGTGCTATTCGGAAGTGTATACATTACACTGCTTCCAGGAATGTTTCCAGGAGCATTACACTCCTGATAACACACTCCTTACTGTCTGTTTGCCTTGTCTGTTTCATTTTCCCCTCCCCTTCCAATGGGTCTTTTATTCCTCTTTATTCTTGAATCATTCTAGGCCCTCATCATTCAGAGACCACTGTTCCAAACCAGTAACCTGCTTTTGAAAACAATCTAATGTAAATAATTATGCAGTTTTCTGGCAGTAAAAGTAGGAAAGGGGTGATTTTTGGAAACAAGATCACAGGATATAAAGAGAAATGAAAGGCACCATATATCAATAGCAGAGGAAACTTAGGAACAATATTTAAAATTTACAGAAGGCAGATCTCTAGAGCCTTTTAGTTTATTAACAAGTAAATGAAACACCTAAATTGTCTCTAAAACATCAATGTGTTACAAGTTGAAGGACATACTGATGACCTTGACTCATGAGTAAAAAGGCTCAGAATTCTAATCTGTTCCAAGACATCAGAGGAACAATAGAGGTACACAAACAAACAGACACACAGACACACACCCATCTTCACTGCAGTGATATTCATTATAGCAAAACAAACTGGAACCAACCTAAGACTTCATCAAAGAGATAATGATTAAATAAAGTATCATGATGTATATGCCCCTCCTAAAAATGGTGTTTCCCAACAAACTGAATGCCATGGAAAATAGTCACAAGAAAATAACTGAAAATATAAAACACAGAACTCTATACACTAGGATTTCGAATTTGTAAATATACATATACACATTATTCACACATATAATCTCACAAACACACACTCATGATGTATTTTCACATATATGTGAAGTAGGAAAAAACTGAGCATAAGTGGAGATTTTCCCTATAGAATGCATGGATTCGCTCCATCTCCAGGCACTTATTTGTATTCTTCAATATACTCTGAAGCTTTTTTTTTTTTTTTTTTTTTTTTGGCTAAATAGGCACTTGGACACCAATATGGGAGAAAGGAGAGATGAGGCTATTAGAAAAGATGGTACATGCTTCCTGGGCACCCGTCTCATGGACTAGGTTTAAGCTTCGGTAGAAGGATTAGACCAGAAGATGAGGGAGCTTTTGTGAGGGGCTGGCGAGCCCAGGTGACAAAGAAACCTACCCAGTTGAGGAAAGGACCACCTGGCTTCCACTCTCTGCTGCGAGCTACTGGGAAACTTGGAACACTGGGCGCTCAGGGAAGCCAACTGGGGAGAATGTCAGGGACAGACGGGGTAAGAGAAAGACCTTGGGACCTCATAGAGCCATGCCCTCAAGTTGGCCACTGGCAGCACTGGACACCCTGAAGCATTTTCCGCAACTGACACACAAAAATCTGAATGCGCCTGTATCAAAACACACTTGCAACTACTCTCCCACCAAGGGACTCTCAGGAAAAACTCAGGAAAGCTGAAACATTTATTCAAGCAAGGCTAAAGAGCTGGTGAGATATAGTGTTAACCGGACCTAATTTATAATCATAGACCAGCAAGGAGACTAAGATATATTTGATTTATGTATTTCATGGCTGAGGAAAAATATAAATATAGGTAGAAATAGAATAGAGATTGAAGTAGAGACTTTAATACGTATACGTGCACACGTGTGTGTATACTACAAACGTACACACAAACATGCATAAATTCATATTCACTGGAAGGAAGTACAGCAAAATGTTAAAAAAATGATCATTTCTAAAGATGATTACAATTTTTCTTCTTTATATTTTCCTGCATTACAAAGCTCCCTAATGATCACGATACTTCTATAATCATACAGATAATACTAATAAAAGCAAGAAAATATAAATTTTAGACATATTGCTAGGCAAGATAATTTTCTAATGATTCAAAGCTTAAAGGGAGCTGGAAAACTCATATATTGCTTTCCTTTTCCGATGCTATAAATTAAATACATTTTTCTGGGTGTCACTTGACAACACCCAGATAAATAGCCATCCCCCCTGGATTCCTCTTTTCTAAGACTCAGGGGGAGGGAGACAGGACTATGCGACCCAGGGAGGAAGGCAGATGCTGGTTAGTATGCGGACCCAGACACGTGACCTGAAGTTTCTTTCTAAGTGAAGTGGGCCTGGCGGGTTTTACCTTCGTTCCGCTCGGGGCCTTTCCCGCTCTTACTGGCCGCCGTGCTGTTGACCGTCTCGGACGACGTGCTCAGCTTGGTGCTGGGGTCCCTCTTGGGCTTGGGGGGTGGTTGTCTCCGGGAGCTACAGCTGCTGTCATCGTCTGTGCCCCCGACCGAGTGCAGCGACTGCGACCTCACAGAGAAGCCACTGGAGCAAGGATGCGGCAGCCTGTCCTGAGGAGCGGGCATCGTCATGAATCCCATGCGGAAGTGTTTGCCCGCGTAAGTTCCTTCGTGGCCTCGCCCTACTTCTCCACCTATGCTGTAAAAGAAAGACGAAACCCGTGCCAAGTGAGCCAGGATGTGCAAGATCATGGGCACAAGCATATCTATAACTGTTGATAGTTCACATTTTAACTTGACACTGGTGAAGAAACGTTTCCAATAACATGAAAATATTCTATGCTTTTGCATTCAATATGACAGTAAAGCAAATACAATTTAATCATAGTCAGAAATTCTGGTATCCTGGTATCCACATACTCTCAAAATAGTATTCTAAAGGAAAAAAAAAAAAGCCACCACGTAGCACATGTCATCTTCAATTGCTCTTCTCTACTTTCAGGTAAATCTTGTCCGTGGCTTAAAAAGGAAAAAAGAATTCCTTGTGACAATGAATTGTAGACTGCCTTTTTTTTTTTTTTAATTTTTATTGGAGTATAGTTGATCTACAATGTTAATTTCAGGTGTACAGCAAAGTGAATCAGTTATCCATATACATATATCCATGCTTTTTTAGATTCATTTCCCATATAAGCCATTACAGAGTATTAAGTAGAGTTCCCTGTGCTATACAGTAGGTTCTTATTAGTTATCTATTTTATATATAGTAGTGTATATATGTCATAGACTTTTGACACATGACTGAGGTCAAGGGGGCAGCATTTGAAACTCTTCTCCACTTCATCAAGTTCTTTTTTTTTTTTTACTTTTACCTAGTTAATATAGAGGGAAAAACAAAACAACAACAACAACAAAAGGGGTTCTGTTACCAGTACAAGGGGGGAGAGAGAGATAGGAAGTGAAGAGGAGGTAAAGGAAGGAAGGGAAGGAGGGAAGGAGGGAAGGAAAAAGGAAGGAAGGAAGGAAGGGGAAAATACTTGCTTAAATCAACAGAATAATTGTTAATCTCTCTCGGGTTTCCAGAATCCTTTGGTTACACTAGTAACTTAGTTCTACTAATAGATTAGTCTCACAGAATCAAATAGCAGCATCTAATAAAGAGATGTATCCAGAGTTAAAATCTCATCCGATCCTAGGATAGTCCTATTCAGAGTATGCAAGGTTTCCAAATGTAAGGTTTTTAAGTTTTACATTGGAAAGTTTGAACAGAAATTTTAAAATATATAAGAAAACTCTCTCAGCTTGAAGCTCAGTTAATCATATAGGAAATGACTGTTGGGCACCTTTCTATTCTATTAAGTAATGGTGACTCTATGAAGAAAAAGGAAATGGATGTCAATATGAATTTTTAAGAGAGGTTTTTCTAGAGTTTTCCCCATTTTTGCTCATTCACCAGTAAAGGAAACAAAAAGAAGAATTGTTAGAAATATTGGGTTGATTTTCTTAGACATGTATGAAGTAAAAAAGTGTCTTTGAGTATATGAATTTTGGAAGCCTGTTGAATCTACCTTTCCAGATATAAATTTATGTGGGCCTTTTTTAAATCTTAATTTTAGCTGGCTCTTTATTGTACCTTTCATGACTCTAATGTTTGTCATACATTTTACATTCCAGTGGGAAAAATCATGGTAAATATTTGTTTTTCCCCCTTCGCTGAAGGAGTTATGACAATTATATGACCCTTGTGAATAGAGCCAGAAAGGATTCAACAAGAATATGTGACTCTGATTCTGGTATTTAATTCTGATCACAACTTGCTATTCAACCACAAATGTTTTCTTTTTATATTTATTTCATTTTTTTTCTGAGTATTATGAGTCGATATTCAGGTACTAGATATACTATCTTTGCAAAGCAAAATGAAGAAATATCAGTGCACTAACTGGAGCAGTGGATACCTAGAAGCATGAATGAAATCAAGCAAATGTCTAAGTGGAAGTTTTCACATCGTAGTAGTCAGTATCCTAAATCCATGTAGTGTTTTCACCTATTTCATGTTCTGCGCTTTCTTCAAGAACATCAACAAAAAATTAAACTAGAATAAATTCAGATGGAATGGTTTGTGAAAAATCAGTAAGCATTTAAGGCAGAATGGTGTGGTGGAGGTGAGATCAGGGTGTGATGGAATGGGAAGATTTGTCATTGATTGGTGATGATTGTGACAATCTTTCTCATAGAAGATGAAATATTTGATCTCATCTAAATTTGCCTCAATCATTTTGCATGTCTTTTCCTTATTTCTGCTGCCATATTACTGAATAAAAGGTGCTTTGAGGATTAGACAGTCATTCCCAGTAACATATCCACGTGAGGGGATTTATGCATGTATTAATGCACATAGGCATTTATGAGAGTTATGAGGAATAATTGTATCAGCAATTTCTCTGTTACTTTTGACCTAAAAGGGGCCTACACATTTTCCCAGACAGATAATTAGCTCTGCTGCTTCAAAATTACATTTTTTCAGCATAAAACAATTTCCTGTAACTCTTTATCCTTTTGTTCATATATGTAATGTGTACACACATAGACACACACACACACACACACACACACACACACACCACACACAAACACTTTTTCCAAAGAGAAATTCAGTGTATGCTTTAAACAATGGCAGGTCTCAGGTACAAATTCAATTTGACCAGGCTGTGAATGCAGGATGAAGATGTGGGGCTATGGTAAGTTGGATAGAAAGGCCGTTATCCAAGGCTGAGGGTAAGCAATAAAGGCTATGGTACACCTAGGTTCAAGAGACCAGTAAAGATGATTAATCTAAAGGAAATTGAATATTATGAAACATAGCATACAACTAATTCCTGAATTTAGGATAGCACCATGTGGAGTTTTTAAAAATTCCTAGACCCATACTAAGGACAAATACCTAATCATATTTGTTGAATCAGGATCTCTGTAGCCAGTTAGCCATGCTCTGTAACTAATGAGTTTCTTAAAAAACTATATCCAGATTTTTGTTTGTTTGTTTTTTTGCGGTACGCGGGCCTCTCACTGTTGTGGCCTCTCCCGTTGCCGGACGCGCAGGCTCAGCGGCCATGGCTCACGGGCCCAGCCGCTCCGCGGCATGTGGGATCTTCCCAGACCGGGGCACGAACCCGTGTCCCCTGCATCGGCAGGCTGACTCTCAACCTCTGCGCCACCAGGGAAGCCCCTATCCAGATGTTTTTGATGTAGTCAATCCAGAAACCCCCAGAAACATTAAGAACAATAGTTAGAGACATTAATGAGCTGACATCTGTTAGTTAGAAACAGCCAGGGAAACAGAGTTATCAGAAAGTGGGACAAAGGAGACTTACCAGAGACCAGGCAAAATATCACAGATAAGACAAGGTACAATGTATTAGTCAGATCTTGTTAGGTTACCCTGAAGTAACAAATAATCCCCTATTCTTAGTTATTTTTAACAACACAGGTTTACTTCTTGCTTGTATTCTTTGGGTCAGCTGTGCTCAGCTGTGGCTGTATTCCACATGCCTTTTTCATTCTCGGATCTAGCCCCTACTGGGATATGTTCTCATGGCAGAGAGAGAAAAGCACTCACGGAACCACACAGTGTCTCTTAAAGCTTCTGCTCAGATGGGGCATGTAATGTTGAACTCACATTCCATTGGCTAAAACCAGTCTTATGGCCAAGTTTGATGTCAATGGAGTGGGGATAGATTCTCTTCCAACAGGAAATCACTGCAAGTGACGTGACAATATGTGGGGATGCATAATCCTCTTCCAGGTAGGGGACCAAATACAGGTACAGCACTTGTAGCATATGCCTCTGAGATGTCCCTTCAGGAGGGAACTTGACATTAGGAATGAAGGTAGCTGACAACTAGTGACACATTGAGGGGTTTTGTGCTTCTTGCCCCCATAATTCTGGTCTCTACCTAGTTAGAAGTCTTGGTCTCCAAAGCGGGCATACTCTTTCTCGAAGATACGGTAAGGGTCCCATTGAACAACAAGGCTATAGCTGCCTCCTAAGTAATTTGAGCTCGCTTTGTATAGTGGCCAGCAGACAAGAAGACAGGTCTCCATTGTGGAAGAGATCATGGACCCTGATCAATAGGAGGAAGCGGAGCTGCTGTTACAAGATGGTTCAGAGAGAAAAATGTATGGGACCCCTCTGGTTACTCCCTTGCCCAGCTGTGAGTTTGAAAGGTCACCTGCAGCAAGCTGGCCCAAGAAGGTTGACCGGATGTTCCAACCTCTCGTTAAATTAGTCTCACCACCAGGCAAGCCACTGAGACCAGCAGAGGTGTTAGTTGAGAGTGAGGTGAATTTAGAATAAGTGTGGGAGGAGGGAGATAATGCATATCAATTGCAACCCCCATATGAACTGCAGTGAAAGGAGCTATAGTTTCTCACACCAACTGTCCCCTCGTAAGTTTTCCCTCATGAAGCATCCAACAGGATCCATGAAAGAGCTGGTCCCCAAACCTGCAGAAGAGCATCTGCTGAGCATAAGGGGTGAATTGCAGCAGCCATGAAACTTCTCTAAGGACAGCACTTAGCTGACAGCCACCAGCCATAGAGTCTTCAAATCGGATGCAGCATTTAGGTCAAGGCCACTCTGCCCATGGAAAGCTCCTAGCTAACAGCTGAGCATATGAGGTATGGGACCTGGCTATTTCTGCCCAGTGTGGGAGTGCTTGTGTCTGAGTTTCCCTGTTGGGCTGGCTGAGACTTGCCCATAGCTACACCATGGTCTGAAGCTCTTCCTATCCAATTATTTTTCCTTCCCCTTCTCCTTCCACAGGTGTCATGCTACGTTGTGGTCTGAGGCTTTTTCTGCCTATTCCTGCTCCCTCCTTATCCCAGGCATCCTCCTCAATAAATCTCTCCCTCTAAATTTCATCTATCTTGGTATCTGCTTTCTGGAGGTCATGAACAAACATTCTTGGGAACGATCATACAATCTATGACATTCAGAAACCAAAGAAGCAAGAAAGAGAAAGTCTAATAACAAAAGTGAGACCCCAGAAATAAGAAATGCCTGTGAAAATAGGACAGTCTCTTGCTTCAGACTGGGTATTTAAATGCTGGTTGGGAAAGTAGGAACTAACTCCACTATAGGAATAGTTGGCTTGAAGTGAAAATTACGTGGGCTGAAGAAAGCAGAGTCTTTTTGCA